TTGTAAAATAATTTTTTTATGTGTTTCACACCGCGTGAAAAACCAGTCGTGTAACATCGACGGTCGCTCCTGTACTTTCATTATCGTTATGTAAAAAATGCCGATGCATTCCGATCCGGTAAATAGACTCGATACTCCATCCAATCAAATTAATTTTGTATTGTTATTCTATAAAATGTATTGTGATTCTTTCTGGGACCCTATCCGATTAAACATCTCTAAAAATGTAAATAGAGCCACTGCAAAATAGCACTAGCTATATCATGATAACCACTTAACCAAATCTGACCGAAAATTGTTTTATTTTTATTCTATAGCGATAGACAGAATTAAAATAAAACAATTTCGGCCAGATTTGGTCAAGTGGTTGTCGTGATATAGCTAGTGCTATTTTTGCTATTGCGGTGGCTCTGATGTAAATAGGTTAATGCGAAATTATTACAGAATAATAAGAGGCTTCAAAATTAGGCATTGAGCTATATTTTTTGTTATTTAAAAATTTATTTTATTTAATCAATTCGATTCTGTAAAGTGAATCTCGATCTCAAACCATAAAAATCAAAATTTTCCATCCCTGAAAATGTGTCTAAAGTCTGAAATTACGCTGCCACCAGAATGACATTGGAGACACTTCGTGAGCCTTTTTCTTCTATTTTTAACTGAAAATCGACCTTACCTTACTTTGCGCGGAAGTTGTGGTGAATAGATTATATTGGAAAGATTACTATGGACTACCTTGACGATAATGACAACATTCACATAAATTTTTTTCTTTTTATAAACTATCTGGTCTCGATGTGGATGAAAATTAAGAATCTTAGTCCAATGCAAAGATTGTAATTTATCCGGGTAACCTGGAAATTTTAATAATCCCGGATTACTATATCAAGATCACGGGGATTATTATTACAAATCTCTTTATAAAATATGGGCTAGGTGCTGGAAAAAGGGCCGAAAATGACAAAATAAAAGATTTTCGGAAAATCAATTTTTGTGTTGCA